TCTTTCTTTCCTTCTCTCTCTCCTTCCTCCCTCCTTGGGTGTCCCTGGATGCTTTTGTCATAGCTGGGTACCTTCTCCTCTCTTCCTTTGGTGTGTCCTTGGACGCTTGCGTCGTAGCTGGGAACACCTTCCTTTCTCTTCTCTCCTTTTTCTCGTCTCTCCCTACCCCTCCCTTGTCGGCACCTTAGCTTGGGATGCTACTAGGGGCTCCTGGCCTTCCTACTAGGTGTTAGGTGTTTCTTTGAGGCTACTAGAGGTTCCTGGCCTTACCACTACTTGGAGACGAAGAGTCTCACGCCACCTATGGCGCGGAGCTTAAAAATCTTGCCTCCCCTCGGGGAGGCGTGTGTGCGCAACCCTTGGAATCATAAAAATCCTTTCGGATGGTTTTCGCTTCACGGTTGTTTTCCTTGTGTAGCAGGGGGACTGGAGCCGATTTGCCTATCCAGTCCAACGAAGCTATGGCATTTCGGCGGATGAGTGGTCTGATCAACCACTTGTACCTGCACAATTTTTAAACCTTTGGTAAAGGGCTAATGCACTCGGCAGACATGAACGAACGTCGTCAGCCTGCTCGATCCGCGATCGTCGATGGGTTTCTTCCGCTTTGGGCCTTCTTTCCTCTGAAAGTCCTCCAGGTTCCCGTGGTTCGTACTTGTTCCCTTAGGAATTGGAACCCTAGGCCGGCGTGTGGCACCGCTTTCAGTTCAGTACACCCTATCCTAAGTGTGTGTGCACTTCTTGGAATCATAGGGATCCTTTCGGATTGTGTCTTGAGCTTCTTGGAGTCATAGGGATCCTGATGGATTTGCTTTTGTTTTCCTTCAACCGACAGTAGCTACGCAGGGGGCCACCGGGGTCCCAGAGGAGCGGTGGCCAACGAAGACCTCCTCTGGCACCCGTGTAAACGTACCTGCCAAACTGGTTACCTGTTGTTCTCGCTGTGGTTTGCTTTCATGGTGGTTCATGTATGTGGTTCTGTTACTAACCGCAACTCGCATTTCGTGTTTTACCTTTCACCTGACTTCCTAGGCATTTATACCTAGGTGGGCGTGTGGCGAGCGGCATTCGAGTCAGTACGCATTTCAATAAGTGTGTGTTCCTGCTTTCTGTGGAAAAAATGCCAAGAAGCCTGTGAGCTTCCGGTGTATCCTGAGACACAATAGGCCCAGCACTCTGCTCCAATTGTCTTGTTGGCGCATGTGCTGGCAACGCCGATGCCAAAGGTCGGTGTGGGACAGACTGCTGCTTCGATGCTTGGAAAACTGCCCTTGAATTCACCATCAGTGCCACACTGGAGTGTCGCTACTCCATCACTGGTGAAGCCCAAGGCCGCATCCACTGTGCAGGTCTGCAAAGTGGTTTTGTTTTCGCAGTTGTGAGTAGCACCTCGAATGTTTGGAAGACGAGCTGCGCAAGGTTTGGCAACGCAAGTTGGTGGAGTAGAGTTGACGGCGGGCAAGCCCCCTGTCCCATACCCTGCACTCTGAGCAGGAGTGTTATTGCATAGCATCGTGATTGCATCTCCATCAATGTCCCAACCCGTCTCACACAACACGGAGCACGATTGACCAAAACTCAAGCCCTGGCAAGAATCTTTGAATTCTGGACTTGCAAAAGGCAAGATGTCTGAAAGTTTGCCGCAAACGGTGGCTTGGGCACTGGAACTGGGAGTAGGAGAAGCTCCCATCACTTTGGCACACCATAGCAGGATCACCCACCCCTTCGTACCCAAAGATGCAACGCCGCTCGCAACTGCTACCTGTGGTGATTCCACTGCAAGCAGAGAAGTCAACACCAACCGCAATCTGGCCTGTCAGTTGGCATGGAAGGGGAATGCAGCTGGGTTGCTGACCTAAGATCTGCCCATTCTCACAAATGAATTGCGTTGGAGATCCTGAATGCCCTGCTGAACAAATTGCCATGCACGTTTGTCCGTGCTGCTTACCTTCGCAATCTGTCGCCCATGGAACTGAAGATGACCCTGGGCTGGGCGCTGGACATTTCTTGGGGCTGCAGCTTGGCAGGGGCCCCACATCAAGTGCGCGAAAATTTCCGTCATTCTCGCATTGGAAATTTGACGATGAAACAGTGGCCGATTCAAAACCAAAATTACATGCAACTTGACAGGATTGCCCAGCGATTGCCCCAACACAGCTGCTGATATTGAGACGGTAATCCTGCGGCAATCCATCACTGCTGCACACCAAAGGACTGCAAATCGGCGGGGACCCTGAAAAGTTGCCACTCATTTGACAGGAGTAAACAGACTCCGCAAAAACGAAGCCTTGTGGGCATCTCACGAAACAAAAACCACCCAAAGGTATGCCCTCGCACAAAGAAGAATCCAGGTCAGGAGGCAATCCTCCAATGGAGCATGAAACCACTTGACACGGCGCACTAGGCCCTTCGAAGGCGCCAGCGTTGCATGTATACCTTGCATGACACAAACAATTCCACAAGCGCTGTTTTCATTGAAACTCATCACCAAAATATCCTCTACATCTATTCGTGTATATAATCAGTCAAGCGCTACAAATTTTTCATTCAAGTGCCACGGCGCTGTGTTGGACCTCCTTCAAAGCCAGTGTCACACAGCACCACGCAGCTCTGCCCGCTGCTTTTGCCCACGCAATCACCGGCAAGCACTCCTCAAGCCAAAATGTCTGCGCTTCAAATCGGCCCGCGCCGAAGATGCTGAGGCGTTCGACTGTCAGTAGCGCTTTCATCGTAATATAGTTTTAGCTAAAGGGAGCATCTTCGGGAGAGGAGTGGGAGAGGAAGAACACAAAAAACAGGAAGAACACAAAAAACACATCATTTTCACACATCATGCTGGACTATAAGTTTGGCAGTGACGGAGCAGCTTCGAGGACCATGTTTTTACAATTTTCAGCAAATTAGATTGTGTAAAGCTCTGGCGAAGGAGATTGCCGTGAGCCTTGGGAATGGCTCTGTGGCTCCAGCTCAGGGTGTGGCTTCGAGGACAATATTTTGGTTGGGACTGGCTCTGTGGCTTAGCTACAGGGCGTGGCCAAGGAGATTGCTGTAAGCCTTGGGAATGTCTTCGTGGCTCTAGAGACATGGCTGTATGGCTTTAGAAAAGGATGTATCTTTTTTGCTGTCAGAAAGCGACGTTTGGCAGTGACGGAGCAGCTTCGAGGGCCAATTTTGTGTGGAATTAGATTGCGTAAAGGTGTGGCGAAGGAGATTGCCGCGAGGAGTGGGACTGGCTCTCTGGCTCTAGAGGCTCGATACAAGCACGGCTGTATGGTTTTAGAGAAAGATTTAGAGAAGGTTTCTTATTGCCGTCAGAAAGGGACGTTTTGGCAGCGACGGAGCAGCTTCGAGGACAATTTCATTCCCAGATGCAAAATGACACAGCCTTTGGGCGGGCGTCATTCTTTGTATGCACTCAGATCATACAGAATTCTTTGAGGGAGAATCTGGGCAACTAGGAACTCAGAATAACAGCCTGAGATTATCGTTATGCGGGCGTCGCCCCGATTTCAGATGATGCGGGGTGATCAGAAAGACATCAGAATATGGTAGAACGTATCACGGCAACATATGCGTGAGCCGGTTGCAAGTGTATAGTTTGTTGTACAAAATGCCTGCAATTTTAGTAAGTAGTACAATGTGGACGCACTCAAAAGTGTACAATTGCAAGGGCGTGGAAAAATATATCCAACAACGGCTGCAACTTTACTCAACTTCACGCTGCGTTCATCTCGGTGTCTTGTCTCGATCATGCACATTGTACAGTTTGTCACGCGTCTAATCGCTCTAATTTTTGACCGCCCTTGAAAATGCATATTTTTACTAGGTCCAAATTGGATCCATTTGCAAGGCGTTAGTGGGTTTGATTTGGAAAGCAAAAAATACAATTTCAAGGGGCGCGACAAATAGACCAAACAATGCTTGTGTGAGAGTCCAAAAAGTATTCCGGAAAGAGACCCAAACAGTGTGTGTGAGGTCTGTAAGAGGGAGTGTGAGTGTGACTCTCACTCAGAGTGAGAGTGCGGGTGTGAGTGAGAGTGAGTGTGGGTGAGAGTGCGAGTGAGAGTGAGTGTGAGTGTAAGTGAGCGTGAGTGAGAGTGAGAGTGTGTGCGCGAGTGAGAGTGGGAGAGTGAGTGAG